CACTGCTCACCCTTGGGCCCTGCAGGTTGGAAGGGACAATTCTTCCTACTCCTGGTTGGATAGTCAGGCTAATTCTGTCATCTGCACCCAAGACCAGGCAGGAAGTGGCAGTCAGCAGAGAGGCTGGTGCAAGAGGACTCCCACCAGGGCCTCCACCAATGGCTTAGTGGGCTACAGAGTAGAGTGCACCCCCATATCCCACCCCCTGCTGCTAGGACCAGTCCCATGTCCCCCATATTGCTGTTTCCCTGGGGATTTGATATTCACCAGCCAGCCCCATCCCATGGATTTCATAGCCTTAGGGACATGTCCAGTCCTCAGGGCCAGAGACTCAGGAGGTCACAGGTCCTGGTCAGCCATCTGTCTAGACCACTGGCCTTGGCCTTCAACCTTCCATTCCAGATGAGAATACCCTTTTATGTTCCAGCCCAATATTCATACACAGAGCTATGCCCAGATACTCTTGCCATGTTTTCTGTCTGTTCTCTTTGTTAGTGCTTCTTAGTTGCCCTGTACTCAGTTGATTTCATGACCCACAGTTTGAAAAACACTAGCCAGACAGCCTGCGTGCCAGCAGACATCATGGGACACTGGTTACCAGAAAAGTGAAAGGAAGCATGCGCTGTGCACATGACACCGACTCACTCCTTCCCTTATTGGAGGTTGCTGCCCTGATGCCCAGCCCAGCTCCACTTTGTGCTGTTGCAGCAGCAAACCCTTCGGGTCAGGCCGTGGGGGTTCTACCCACATACTCGGCAAGGTACCATCTAGTGCTCTTCCTGGGGACTTGGCCCCATGCCGATGCTCCACTTCCTGTCACATTGTACAATAGTGATGACGAGTCTCTCCAGACACACAGCAGGCCCACAGCACATGGCTGCTCTTGTCACAGAGGGCACCCGGGGTTACCCTCTCTGGACCTGGGAACCCAGAAGCTGCTGCCACAGTGGACTGGATATCTTCCTCTGGCCCCATGGGAGCAGCTACCCCCATGAGCTGGTGGAGGAGGAAGGCACTGGGCAGAGGTCTACTGACTGGGTGAACCTGTGGCATTGAGGGAGCCTTGACTGCTCCGAGTGATGTGCCTCTGCCCCTGCTGGACGTGCTGGGAGCTTGGCATTCAGCAGAGGCCTGGCAGAGCAGGTGGCTGGCCTATGCCAGGGATACCAAAGCTGGCCACCTTGTCTGGAGGGGCTGCCATTACGGCAGATAAACAGAAAGGTGGCCTGTGGTCCTTCCTGTCTATCTCAAAGTGAGGCCTGAAGGGAAGCTAGAGTTTCCTGCTGTTCGGAAATCCCCCAGCCTGTCCTGGGATGCAGAGAGCATTAGGGTCAAGACTGCTCCCCAGCAATGGCTGGCTGTGCATGCACATGCCCGCGTATGTGATATGCCAGTCTTTGGTGAGAAGTAGCTAAGAGCCATCCACATACTCAGGAGACAGAAGAGCACCACAAACTGAGTAAGAAGTGGCCCTTCTAGAAACATTGCAGCATTTCCCTGAATCTGTTCCCAAGGCTGCTACCACTGGCCAGAGTATCTCTCACAGGCCTTCTGCTCATGGGCTGGCTGGTCCCTGCAGTGGGGTTGAGGGAGTTGAGGCGGCCTGAGGAGGGGCTGGGTGGGCCAATGGTGGCAGGTAGCCCAGGCCCAAAGCTGCCCTGGAAGAGCCAACAGAAGACAGAACCTGTCATCCCAGCCAGAAAGAGAATCAGATGAACACATGCGAGGAACTAGAAGCCAGCATATTACTTGGAGATGTGTAATATCTCCCCAGATGTCTTAGATTATCATACAGATTCACTCGGCCAAAGATGGTAATGTCCCTGGTGGGTGTCCCCAGGCAGCCACAAAGGAGGGATCCTGTGTTCTGGGTCGAGCCAAAGTATGACAGAACTCTCCATTATTGTCAGTTTGCATTCGGAGGACGGGTGAAGTGGACACCAAGGAGTTGGAGGGAGATGATTTATAAAAGCAGTGGCTTTCCTCCTTGGATTCCAGAATGGCTTGCATCTGAATTAACTGATACATATAGAAACTCTGAGAGGGACTTGAGAAAAAAAAAGGGCAGAAAAAGATAGGGAACTGAGAGCGCGAAAATAGACTGTTGCCCAGTGCCCGAGTGTCATTGGGCCGCTGGCCAGCCGGCTGTACACTTCCTTCTCCAGAAAGCTGGGGATTCTAAACCAAAAACTGTCGTCAAAGTCTTGCAGAGTCTGAAATATAAAGGCAGGCTGATTGAGGCCTCACCATCCCACCCTCTTTCTGGGCTTTTGGAGGTGGTCTGGAGAACTCAGTTGAGTGAAACAGTAAAAATATGCTCTAGATGCTTGTAGCACTTGACAAGCTCTTGTGGGTGCTCACCCGGGCTTCCTGGTTTTTTTAAAGAGTTCAATTTCTGTTTTTCTTTTAGAAAAGTACACTCCACTAGGACTTTCTGCCTGCCTAGGGTGCTGCTGCAGGCTGCCCGCTGATGTGGCGGCCCCCAGGAATCTCCGTCCGCCACGCCCTAGCTCTGTCCTGTCTACCCAGGCTATTCCTGGATGTTCTAAATCAACAAACCACAAACCATTCTCCTTTGTTGACTCCATGGATCCCAAACGAAAACACACAGCTTTCCTGGGTGAAACTTTCCTGGGGGAAACTGGGCCGTGGCCTCTGCAGCTCCACTCCACACCTGCCTTTACTGTCCCCATTATAAAGGTGGAAAAATTGAGGCCCTAAAGGCTGAGGGCCGAGTCAGGACAGGAGAGCAATGGCTGGCTCTGAGTTGTTCAGAGCCTCAGTTTCCCTTTTAGTTTTAGGGGTTAAATGTGCCCCACCCTTCAGGGCAGCTCTGTGGGGAGTGTGGGTAGCATTAACCTCCAGGCAGCTGTTGGCCCAAACAGCCTATTGCGTCTGGAGGGCAGACACCTGGGTGTGTCTTCTCAGGGCCACTCTCTGTTTCCTCATCCCCAGTTTGCACACCAGGCTTGGGTGGATCACCCTCAAGTGAGGCCCACGTCTCCCCCTTGGCCTGCCCCAGGCAGGGTTCCCCTGTGTCTGACTTTGACCCAGCACTGAAGTGCCCCAGTTGTGCATGTGGGAGCTACCCCCGCCCCCACCGAGAGATCACCTGAGGTGTTATCTAGTGCTTTTTGCTCTCTTGACACTTTTCATGGTGTTTTGCAATCAGAAAAGACGGGAGATTAAAAAACACCTGGCTAGGAACTTTGGATTCCAGCAAAGCATCCAGGGATCCTGAACATTCAAATTTTTCCTTTAAAAATCTGTTTCTGAGGGGTCATTCCACACCTGGGCCCCCACTTCTGCACTGTCCCACGGGATTGGAGCACCGAAAGGCAGGCATACTAGTCACTTCTGTTTTGTGAGTAGGTGTTTACCAGTAGAGTCTGGATTTGGGTGAGAGGCCCTTGTCAATGAGCACAAGGCTCTGGCTCTGGGTTCAGATTTGCCCGGATTTGTGTGACTGCAGACTGACCCCCATGGGAAGCCACAGACAGAGCACAGGGAGACGTTAAGGATAGAGCCAATGAGCGTGGCTGAGCTCCAACGAGTCTACAGGGGACAACTCCCACCTCCTCCACTCCTCCTGGCTCTGTGGTCACCAAGTCCAGAAGAGGTGGCACAGTGTCAGGCCCAGGGCTGGACCGATGTCCCTCAGCCTGTTTTGTCACTGTTTAGTCACATGACTTGGCCATGACCCCAGCCGGATGAGCCCTGACAGGGGCAGCCTCCACTCTGTGCCCGGCTGTCAGGCAGTCTCCTCCTGTGGAGCTGAGGGGGACAGGGCAGGGGATGCAACATTCAGCCCACCCATCTCAGCTCCTCTCATCTGTGCCCCATCTTGTCCACTTGGTAGACAGACGGTACCCGTGGAAGTCCTGGAGCCGGGTCTGAACCTTGTAGCCCCTCTCTGTCCCATTTACCTGAGAGGGTGAGCATGGTAGTGTTCTTATCTGCCCTTGACCAGAGAGGGGCCCTAGGCCCAGGCAGCAGGCAGCAAGGGTGTGGGATGGGGCCCCTCCTTCGTATCAGGGGCCCCTATCATGTGGTATGCAGGGGGGCAGGCTTGGCCGGGCCCATCCTCCTGACTCAGCAGACCAGCCCATCTGTCCATCCACCTGCGTACCTCTGCTGGTTTAAGGCTCCCAGCCTCCCATGTCATCCCCCCATACACACTCTCTCACACACACACTGACACCCTCACACCTTTCATCCATGCTCTGCAGGACCATCCATGGCTGCTGGCCATGTCCTGGGACAGCCTTGCTTCAAGTCTGTCCTCTGGCTTCCTCCTTGCCCTTTCTTTGGCTCCTGCCAAAGCAAGTCTTTCCCACTCTGGTGGAGCAAGGCACAGTGTTGGACACTCCCCTCCAGCTAAAGGGACCTCAGAGCTAGTGCAGAGCAAGAGGCACTGGCTATCTGCTGGGTGTTCACCTAGACACTCAAACCTGTGAAAAACTTGAAACACATTGTTTGTCGGGCAGGTGGGTCCATCTCAAGGCCACTGTCCAACTCCCTCCTCCTCTCCCTCAAGGGCGCTTTTCCTCAAGGGCCATATCCAGGCTAGACTAGATGCCAAGCAGCCCTAGGAGGGTCTGTCTCCTATCTGGAGGTGGATGGGGGCCTGGTGCTACAAGTGAATCCCCACTTGTCCCAAGGCCTGACCAGTTAAGGTCAGCTGAGGCCATGGAGAACGGGTTATCTGTGGCGTGTAAGCCCTGCTCCCCTCAGCCTTCCCTGCTGAGACTGAGCCCCACACCCCTTTTTTGTCTGGGGATAGCGGTCTCAGGATGGGTTTGAGTTTATTTGCTGCTCAGACTTTTTGGGGAGTGTCAAGATAAGAGGGTCCCAAACTGCTGCCTATACTGGTCCCAGCCCTGGGAACCCCTCCCTGGGACCCCAAGACCAAGGTGGGGTCCCTGAGGTAGTGTGGGGGAGGGAGGTATTAGCAGTGCTCACCCCAAGGGGCCCCCCATCACTCTCTCCTCTCCCTGCAGCCTCTTCGACATGGGTGGTGAGTATTACTGCTTCGCGTCTGACATCACCTGCTCCTTCCCTGCCAACGGCAAGTTCACTGCAGACCAGAAGGCCATCTATGAGGCGGTGCTACGGAGCTGCCGTGCTGTCATGAGCGCCATGAAGCCAGGTGAGGGGGGGGCTGCGCAGAGGCCCACCGCCGTGGGAGACCAGGGAGTAGGTGGCAAGGCACCTGCATTCTGTGGCCTGACTCTACCCCTCTTCTACCTTTATACTTGGCCAAAAGGAATTAGATGGGGTCAGGTCCTGGAATGTCCTGCTCTCCCCAGGATCTCTCCTAGGAAAGGAGGCTAGCCACAAAGCAGGGACAGAACTGGGATCCGTGGGACTCCGTCCCAGGTCTCCCCACGTCCCATTGGACTTCCTCCACCTGCGTATCCCGTCTGTACTGGCCACTGGGACGTCAGTGTGTCCTCTGCCGTACCCTGAATCGGGTCCACTCCAGGGAGTGCTCAGCCACTCTGGACACTGGCCTCTGGTTGATGTTGAAACAGTTTCCAGCCCTGCCCAGCTGCTCACTGGCTCTGTGATGGAGAGAACTGCCTCCCCTGAGTGGCAGTCATGGGGAAGCAGAGCCCCTCCCAGCAGCTAGTGAAGATGGGAGTTGAACCCTGTAAAGGACTCAGTACTGCTTGGCATGGGTGACTGCTCCAGAGTAGTCCCTGTTACTGCTATGATGGTGGCATTGGTCTAGAAAGAGGCTGAGCCTCTCTCCCAGCAGCCACCTAATGTGTCCCCCTGCTGTCCATTCCTCCTTCCACTCCCACCCTGGAGCCTTCAGGGCACAGGCAGTCCACCAGGCCCACCATTCTGCCCCTTGGCTGTGGGCCTCATCCAACTGAATACAGGGTAGGTGGAGGACATGTTCTTGAGGGGACCTGGCTGCCCCCCATCCACCCACCCGGCAAGGCCAACTTACTGGTGACACTTCTGGGAGGCTCAGGGCCTCCCGCTGTCCCCATAGTTGGCCTTGCTTCTTTCGTTCTTTTTTACTTTTTTTTTAATTTTTATTTTAAGAGTTTGTCTTACATTCAACGTAACAATGTACATTTAGTTTCATTCCCCATTCGCCATGTCCAGCCCTAACCCAGTCTCCTCCCCTCCCTACCCTGCAACCTTCCCCCTGTGCCCCTCATATTTATGCACTCCTGTTTGTCCTGCATTTCCTCAGTTTGAATGTTGGTCCTGTGGTATCCCATGGTCTATTGCTCTAAGGGATGTATTCCCTTAGAGTATGTGGGTGCATCATCCTGGGTTGAGTGGTGTGCATGTACATCTTGTTAACTATTGGGCTGAGAGCCCGCCCCTGGGGGTGAGTTTTATTCCAGGCGCCACATGTATTCCAGGGCCATAGTATTGGGAGTCTCACCAGATTTCATCTGACCGGTAATTCTAGTCATTATTGAGTTTTTGGATTTTGTTCCACATAGCCTTGCTTCTTTCTGGGGAGCCTCTGAGTGTCCCTTCATGGCCCAGATAGGATGGATTCAGCACATGTGGTATTTCAGTAACTGCAGGCTCAAACCCAAGTCTGGTTTTTGACTCCTCCTGCCCTGTAACAGTAAGACTTTTCCCACAGTGGTCCCTGAGTTTTCACCTTTGCCTCAAGGGGAGCATTTGGGGATGTGAGCTTGTCATGTTCCTGCTTTAAGCCCTCCAGGGCTTTCAGTAGTAGTCCTGAAGTCCATGAATTCCTTAGGTCCTGAGCAGGTTTCTGTGGGCTACTACAAACCCCACAAACTGCCAGGTCGCATGGCTCCTGGTGACCATTGGCTGTAACCTGGTGACCATTGGTCTGTTAGGCTGTTGCCAGGCCCCATCCTGGAATCCAGATGGGTCTTTCCCTGCCTCCTACACCTTCCTGGCCAGTGACTCAGCAAGCATCCCAACTGCTCAAGTCATAGCCATCCCACAGTGAGGCACTCGTGTTCATATTAGTTCAGCCTCTTTGGTTGTGAGCAACAGAACCCTAGCCAATTTAGGTCACTTGGTACCATCATAAATTGGTAGGAAGATGAGAAAGCCAGGTCTGGGATGGAACCAGAGCTGAGGCAGTGCCGAGCTTTAGGGGTCTGTGGGCCTGGTGGGAGAGAGCTCAGGACCATTTCCATCTAGCCAGGTGCAGCCATGGACAAGTATGCTCCAGCCACTTCCTTCACTCCGGGAACAAACACTCCATAAGGGTCAAAGGCAGAGAGCATCTGGTGTTGGCCAAGCTCAGACTGTAGCCCAATCCCCTTGCATCCTTCAGCCGCCCCTCCCCCCTAGCTATCAGGCTTCAGGAAAAGCAGGAAGGCCCCTAGACTGGAGGCAGCCTCTCACATGTCTTCCACAAGCTACGTGGGGGCCCTGTGGGCAGACAGCATAGAAGGGCCCTGGAGCACGGCTTTGTCCTCCATAGTACAGGCTTGGCCAGTCACAGCTCAGTCCTTTGCTGCCCACGTGCCCTTGGTCAGGCCCTTCATCTCCTTATTCCCACAACGGGACTAGGAAAGGTCCTGGCCATCAGCATTGTTGGGGATTAAATGAACCAGTCCTCATGCAGTGCCTGGCCAAGGCCAGCACCCACTTGTAAGTGCCAATGGAGAGGTGGTGATGGCTGCATTTGGCAAGTGTGTTCAGTGTTGGGGAATGACTCAGACTGTCAGACTCCCATCCCTCAATGGAGCCTTTACAAAACACACATACACCAAAAAACCCACCAGTCCTGAGCCTAGAGCTATAAGTGCCTCGGGATATGGTCTCAGCTCAGCATTTGGCTCAGCAGCCCCTGTGGTCTATGGCCAGTTGTAGTGATGCTTTCAGCAGCCCAGTGCTGGACCAACTGCTACTTTTGAGGGGTCCTCAGCAACGACCTTTTCCAAGGAAGGCAACTTGCCAGACAGCCTTTCTGGTGGCCTCTTGTCCAGCCCTACAAACATCCTCCAGAGGCTAAGGAGCCATGAACAGTGCCAGGTGGGCACCAGGCCTCTTGCCCCACCCAACTTCACATGTCCAGCCGAAACAGAGCTCCATGAATAAATGAGTCTTGGGGCAGGGAGCTCCGGGATGCCCCCAAAGGGAAAATGAGGAAGGAAAACCTAAAAGCAAATAAGCTTCTGCTGAGGAGCTCAGGTGGCACAGTGCCTAAGGCATTTGACTGCTAACCAGAAGGTCAGTAGTTTAAGTCCACCAGCCACGCCACGGAAGGAAGATTAGGCAATCTACTTCCATAAAGATTTACTGCCTCAGGCACCCAAAGAGAGTCGCTGTGAGTCGGAATTGACTTGATGGCAGTGAGTTTGAGTTTGGGTTGTTTTGGTTTTTTTTGGTTTTTTTTTTCCGGTTTTGAGATGACCACACTTGTTGAATTTGCCTGGCTTAGCAGTTATAGAATAAATCAGTATCTTGTGCTGAATTGTGTTGGTTAAAAAGAAACAGCCACCTCCTTTAAGTATTTATATGGAAAATCTCTAGGTCAGGTTGTTGTGCGAAGACAGAATAGTGTACGGCAGGGTGGCCAGTTTGCCAGCTTCTGTGTAGCAGAGAGGGAGAGGGAGAACTTGGATTCCTGTTTCCTTTCTGTAAAGGAGGTACAGGAAGTGAGAAGGGCTGGGGGAGCCTGTGGGCAGGTGGAGGTGAAGGGACATAGTGAACAACTATGTCCCTGTGTGATTTCTAAGCCGTGTGAATGCCTCACTAAAAAAAAAAAAAGTTGCCATCAAGTCAGTTCTGACTCGTGGCAACCCCCGTGTGTCAGAATAGAACTGGGCACATACAATTTTCAGTGGCTTATTTTTCAGAAGTGGATTGCCAGGACTTTCTTCCAAGGTGCCTCTGGATAGACTCAAAGCACCAGTCTTTCAGTTAGCGGCACAGTGGGTTAACCATGTGCATCACCAGGGGTGCATCTGCACCACTCAAAGGGAAAAAAAACAAAACATTGATCTCAAGGGGAGTTACAGAGTAAGCTGCTCCATAGGGTTTTCTTGACTATAATCTTTACGAAAGCAAATCACTAGGCTTTGCTTCCTCGGGTGGGTTCGAACCACCAACCTTTAGGTTAGCAGTTGAGCACAAACCATTCGTGCCACCCTTGCCTGTTAAGTCCAGAGTCAGTAAAGCCTGACTCTGAGGGACCTCTCCTTATTCTTTCTTGTACCAGGCATGAGAGTTTTTGTTCAGTTTATTTTTTTAACCTTTTTTTTCTTTCTCATTCAGAAATATTCATTAGGCATCTATTATTTGCCAGAAACTATGGGATACTTGGTATTCTGTGCCAGAGTCATTTTGAAGCAACCTAAAATGTGCCTAAGGCACTTGACTGCTAACCAGAAGGCTGGCGGTTCAAACCACCAGCCACTCCTCAGAAGGAAGATGGGGCAATCTACTTCTGTAGTAATACTGCCTTGGCAACCCAAGGAGGGGTCTCTATGAGTCGAGTCCGACTCGACGGCACATAACAACAAAAAAAAAATAAATACATAAATTTCAGTTTTTAATTTAAGAAGTTATCTGTAAAACAGATGTCTCCCTTATTGTGCATTGCCTTCTCCTTCACCCAGTTAATATGTATCTACCTTCTACTTAGTGGTTTACCTGCCATTCCTCTTCCACACCTGATAACCATCAAAGAATATTTCTTTTTCTGTGTAAATCTTTTCTTGACTTTTTACAATAGTGCTCTCATACAGTATTTGTCCTTTTGTGACTCACTAATTACACTCAACATAATGTTCTCTAGGTTCATCCATGTTATGAGATATTTCACAGTTCATCACTGTTCTTTATTGTTGTGTAGTATTCCATAATGTGTGGGTACCATAGTTTGTTTATCCATTCATCCATTGATGGGCATTTAGGTTGTTTCTGTCTCATTTGCTGTTATGAATAGTGCTGCAGTATGTATGGACATGCATGTATCTGTTCATGTCACAGCTCTTATTTCTCTGGGATGTATACCTAGTAGTGGGATTGCTGGATCATATGGTATTTCTATTTCCAACTTTTTAAGGAAGTGCCATACCATTTGCCACAGTGGTTGCACCATTTTACAGTCCCACCAACAGTCTCTCAACACCCTCTCCAGCATTTGTTGTTTTCTGTTTTTTGAACTTTGCTATTAGTGCT